GGGGCGGGTTTGCTCCAGCAGGGCTTGCCTTCTAGTACTGGGACAGCCCCGTCACCCCGCCGTGCTGGTACGCCCGCTCTCCCTGGTATGTGGAGTCTTGTGACAGGGCCACGTCGATCTGTGATTTAAACTCATCACCAAGGTAACTGTCCTGAAAGAGAAAGTGGGGAAGGGAGCAGTCCGGTCTGAGGGTGCTCACATCCACCTGTTCCCTCATCAGCCCCGAGAAGAGCCACAAAACCTGGTCCTGAAGTGTAACTGGCAGGACCCCATGCTCCTTCTCTGGGCGCAGGGACAGGCCACCCAGATGGCGGACACAAGCCAGCCAGCTGCCCAGGCTCTCCAGGGCAGTGTCATGGGTGGAATGTTCCAGACTTAGGGCCCACCCTGGTGCTGAGACACGTTCAGGTCCCAGGGTGGGTGTGGGTCCCGTGGGCTCACCTGGGACAGTTCTGGCTGGGAGAGGCCAGGCTGGCTCATCTGGGAAGGCTGGCTCATGGAAATGTAGCCCTGTGTCAGAGCAGCCTGTGAGAAGGGCTGCGACGCCACGTCCTGGCTGGCCTGGCTGCTGGGCAGGTTGGTCTGGCTGGGCCCAGGAAGCCCAAATCGGTTCTTCTGGCGTCCCCCACGCCCAGTCTTACCTTTTGGGGTGCCCCGGCCTGAAAGACAGAGCAGGCCAGGGTAACCAGAAAGAGGCCTGAACTTCCCAGACAAGCCGACTTCAGCAGGAGGTGGGACGCTCAGAGCCACAGCCCCGAAGCAATGTGCTGTCCCCGCGGTGACACCTGCCCACGCTCACCTGCAGCGGGCCCGTTGGCTTGTCCAAAGTAGCCGGGTGGTGGCATGGGTGGCATGACCAGGTTGAAGGGGATGGGAATGTTCATGGCAGCCACGTGGCTGGGGCCGGCGCTGATCATGCCAATCTGGTCGTGGGTCTGGAAGTACATATTTGAGGGCCGGCCTGCGAGACACCAGCAGCAGGCATCACCACCTTGACCAAACCCAGCAAGGCCCCACCCCCACCAGTGTTCAGCCGGTGGGCACACATGTCCCGGCACTGCCAGGGCTGGAGTGACCTTTGCTTCAGGGGATTTGCTGCACATCATACCGCCCCAGGATCACCAACCCAGAAAACCACACATCCTCATCATGGAAAATTACACATTCCGATCACATGCCCCCACAAAGCAAGGAGAACCTAACTAAGCTCAATCATGAGGAAACTCAAGTCATGGATCTGGCTGAGGGCAAACCAGGTCCCTGGTGCCCCGGGGGTGGCCTGGGCGCCTGTGAGCACAGAAGGCTGGAAGGTTAGGCCCAGGACACCCTCAGTGACAGGGCGACCTGCTGGCTACGGACCATGGGAGCTTGGCGGAACCTGACCCATGGCAGGAACCTGATGCCCAGGAGCACACTGGGGCACCAAGGAGCTTGCCGATGTGAGAAGTGGGGTTCAGCCACCCTCAAGGCCTAGAAGGACGCGCGCCACTGGGGAAGGTGCCCCTAGGGGTAGGGCTGGGCCTGGAGTCAGAGGCTCCACCCAGGAGACCAGGAAAGCAAGGACCCAAGGCAAGCCACGTGTCCCCACGGCAGGGCATCCACAGCTTTGAGGAGGCCATGTGGCCTGGAGGGAGGCAGACAGTGGGGAGTGCCAATCAGGTCAGACCCAAAGGGCCTGCGGTGTCTACACCCGAGGGAAGTGGGAGCGGCGGCACCCAGCAAGCAGAACTTATTGGAAGGATGCCTTGTTTCTGAAAACCACCAAGGAAATTACTCCGCTTCATATGGAGCACGCGGACAAACAGCCTCTGCCGTTTAGCAGGCTTCTGTGGACTACGGCTCGTGAGACCACCCAAGAAGCGACACAAGTTGCAGACAAGGGAACAGCACAATCCCAGCATAGGGACACGGGGCCAGCCTGGTCTCCTGCAGAGCAACTCACCCTGACTGCTTCGGTCGTAAACCGAGCCTGGGATGATGGCCTCCCGGGCGTCATACATGGCTGTTGTCATGAAGCGGGCTCCCTGCAGAGGTTTCAGACGTGAGGAATTTGTCATTCAACAGAACAAAAGCACTTCCCACGACCTGGTGGCCTGGGGGGCAGCCATGACGGTGGCTGCCATGCGGAGCATGTGCTCTGACCTCATCTGCCCTCCCTCAGCACCCAGAGCACGCAGGCTTGCAGCACAGCAGCCCCAAGTCTGAGCCCCAGAGGCTGCCCACAACTCAGAACCCCAGGAGCCCCAAGGCTGGGCTTGGAGGCCGGGCACAGGGCCTGAGGTTGGTCACCCCACCTCCACCAGAAAGGCCCTCTGTGGGGACGGTCTCAACACGTCACCCTCCTGTGCACATGCCAGCAGAAGGGTCGCCCTCAGCTTGCATGCCACAGCCATGCCTGCCACTGTTGAGAGCAGCACTCTGGAAACGGGGATCCCCAGTCCGTCCTCTGGCCCTGTGGACATGCTCTGTGAGGACTGCAGCCTGGGGGGTTCTCTGCTGGGAGGGTGGGCTAACAGATCCTAACTCCAGTCCCTGGAGCAGGTGGGTTCCATCTTCCCACTGTGGGGTCATGGTGCCCCAAGCCGCAGGGGCCCGGCTCACCGGGTTGATGGTGTTGACGAGCTTGCGTGGCTTGCTGAACTGCATGAGGCTCTCACGTAGGTTGTTGAGGGGGCCCTCCACCAGCACCTTCTGCTCCTTGTAGTAGTTCAGCAAGTGGTTCCACAATGGCTGCTTCGACAGCGCCTTGGGGTTGCCCACAATGATGACACCATACCTGAGGCAAGAGTGCAGTGCTGAGGCCCCCAAGGCC